GAATAACAATGGTAAAAGAGTTTATTTGCCACCATGTAATAGTTATCGTCATTAGACTTGGTGAATCCCTTTATGAGTTCGTTGCGTTCACTAAGCCATACGGAGTATCTTCTGAACTGATTATCGTCATTGTTGTTGTACTTGTGTGTTGGAAGTGAGTATATCCTGGCAAACTCACTAACAAGTGTTGCTGTGCATTCTTCGTTACTTCCAAGTAATACCAGCGTTATCGTCTCATCATAACTTGAGTGCTTGCGAATAGCGTAGTAAACGTTGTCAATTTTAGTGGGCTTTACGTTATTGATTTCCTGGTAAGGTATCCATCCAAGTGTATCAACCAAGTTGGCAATGGCTGGATTATCAGCAAACGTCGACATAGTTGAAGTTAAAGTGTCAACCCTTATTGTGTTACATTGCACGCAAATCTATCGGGCCTCTTATCGTTAGTCTCCGGCGTATTCCTCTCAATTCCGTCATACCGTACGATAAGTTTGCATTGTAGAACCGCCTCAATGAAATGGAATGATAAAGTATTAAGGATGGGTGCAGAGTGAGCTCTCATGAAGTAATAAAATTTTTTCTTGCCCAAATAAAAATGTCAAATATTTTCCTAATCGCTTTTTAGAGTCTGATAAAGATGTGCTGTTTCTCGATAATCATGATATTGATGTATTCAAGGAAAGCAAGTTCGCTGGTTATGGTTAACTAAGCATGCACTACTTTCTCATCCTTACAAATCTTGCTCACGATCCGGCAACAAGGGTGATAGAATTAGCTAACAAATTAGAGGATAAATACAATAACTGTACTTCAACCACATTGTGCTTTTCAGAAATACCTCAAAGAGTGGGTGCTGGCAAAATACAGGATTCAAGCCAAGGTCGACTTATCGATATTCAACCTTCATTATTAGCAGAGTTTGTGTCTGTTGTCTGGGGAATTTAGATTTGATGTGTTTCGTTGCGCTGTTGGAATGTTTGTAATGGAGGCAGTAATTTGTTTAGATGTGTTTGGCTTTAGTATTAGTTTGCATTGCAGAAGCGATTTACAAAGGCAACGGTAACTTTGTTTTAATTGTAAACAGTTATGTATCCAAAGCTTGTTTGAAATGTTAATGTTAGCATATTAACTTAATATTATGTGCGATCTGTTTATCGATTCCATTACTATCAAGTAATGATGCATGTTTAGGCAACGAATATTTCCAATGTATGCGTGAAATGGAACGTTGGGCGAGTGTTTGGGTAGAGAATTGAATAGCTTGTGGAGGGGTTGCACGTGTGGATGATAAATTGTTGTCGAAAAGGATCGGGTAACTATTGTATGATGGACAAAGTCGATGATGTATAATACATCCTTTATAATCTGCAAGGAGAATAAATCCAGGATATCACAGAACATTTTTCAATGACCGAAATATTGGCAATATATTATAATTTAGATTAGTTTATATTCAAGTCGAAAAAGTATAAATTCTATCGTTCAGCTAAATTGCTTACGAACGGATTGGATTGATCTTTGCAAAATGTGAATGTATTATTTTAGAATATGTTACGCATTATGTCATTTTGTGATAGAGAATACTCGGCAATAGGCGTATTGATGATTCATATTGATTAATACTTACAACAACGCAACATACCATACGATGACAGCTCACGATAACTGACCATGAAATGCTAGCTGTCGGTGATAGCAGTCTACAACAAAGAACCACAGCCCATAAGCAAAGAATTACAAACACGGCTCATAAGAACCGCAATAACTCAACATACAACAGAGGATCGATCCAGTTTGTTTCCCGTTAGTGCATGCGAATTATCATTTACATAATAAATGAAAATGGTTATTTTAGGACAAACACATAGAGGTAAAATAATTAACCCCGTCAATCCTGTAAAGAGGCGCAAAGTAGACGACGAAGTTAAAGATTACATAAGCGAGATAATTAATTAAGAATGAAAAATAAGTCCAAGGAAATTTTTCTAGTGGGAGCAGGTGAGTTGTGTCAACGACTCCATTTTTGCCCTCTAGAAATAGACGACTTTTTGGTGTCATCGAAGTGACGTAACATAGATCTTCGACATCGACTGGGATAAATTGGATAATGTTGACCGCCCGCGATGCTTTCGTTTCACTTGTTGCTTTTATAGATAATTAAAAAAACGTAACTGAAAAGAAAAATAATAAAAAATAAATTTTTTGTTGGGGTTTATAGATGTTATGCTTACGATAGGCGTATACATTTGTTAGGTGTTTTGCGCAAATGCTTTTGATCAATCGATTTTGTGTTTAACTCGGACGTTACGATTCCAGGACGTATACCGCTGAGACCATCATCGATCAGGCTCGAAATTTAAGAACTCCGCACCGAAAACCAAACACTGTCGGCAGCGGAAAAGAAATATGGAAAAGCGGCTGTACCATGAGGGCAAGCAATTTGTTGGGTAATCAATATTGTGAAGAAGCGCGCGCGCGCGGGTTAACTTTTAATAATTTGTTGGGTGTCTACGATATTGGAATGGTTAACGCAACACAGTCGAGAATCTTTGCAGACAATTGTATGACTAGTAGGTTATCACAATTGTTAGACGTTCTGGATTTAGTTTGTTCGGCGCAACACAGTTGAGAGCGTTTGTGGCTGATAGACTTCTATATTCAATGATGGCGAAATGGGTGGCGTATAGGTGGGACTTTTTTTTCTCATTACCAAACACTTGGTAAATTCTCCTGATTTATTAACAAGTATCGGCGTAGAGCATTTAAATATTAGTGTTTATGTTAAACTAATCTAGTTAAATTAAGATGAAACTAGACATTAACAACCGCTGATCCTAAAACTATCTGAAAGATATTGCTCATCTACACCGTTGCGAGTAACGGTAACCAAAACATTATAATTATGTGCGTTCTGAAGACCCGGAAGAATTCCAACGGTTGTTTTGCCCGCTGAAGCTGGAACACTCACCGCTGGAGGCGAAAATGGAATTGAGTTTGTAGCAGACTGAAACAAGATAAATTGGAGAGTAAGACCTTATCTAATTTAAATGCTGTAAAAATAAACATTAGTAAATATAAATTAGATGTTTAGAAAAAAAAAATCAAAATAAAATAAATTATGATACGGTAAAAATGCTTACGGTCTTTCCATCGAATCTTGAGTTTTTCACCACACTAAATAATAAAAAATATGTATTTATTAATATGCAAACAAAACAACTTGTTTAATAAATTCTTGATTTAAACTTTTCCTACATGAGCATTTGTATCCGTGACAGGATTGGTAATAATTAACGTTTACCGATAGTAAAAGTCGCAGAATGAGCCAATAATGGACCATCCACTCTATGAGCTACGATTTCAAGTAGCTAGAAGAAGGAACGGGAGGAGGTGTAATCGATTGAACTTATTTTGTTCCTATTGATGTTGGAAAAAGAGAACAATAAGTTAGTTATTACCTGTAACGAATGCTAATTATAGCATTCATATTACTTACCTGGTCGTACTGCAATATTTACTCCAATTGTGTTCTCAAAAGCAGAGAACGCGCTTTTAAGAGATATATAGTCGATGGTAGTAACCCCAGGCTCGGGGCACATTTTAATAATAATTTCCTTACCGTCCGCGAAAACGTTACCCTTTACTTTTTATTGAGCATTAATATTTAGTCTTTTTATAAATAATAAAAATTTTAACGTAAAAGCTACCATTTTAAAAAATAGCATGCCATTGCATAGTAATAATGAGGTTTAAATCACAATACACAATAATTACATATTTTTTTATTCCGGTAACTATAACTGTATAAGACATAATACCTGGCTTGCGATTTATAAGAGAGAAAACAGTTGGAGAAGAGGCACCAAAGTCAAACATATAATAGTATGCAATTCATTTTGACAATTTAATTAAGAGATTTGAACGCGGAAGTTTAGCCGTTAAATATCTTTTTTTACAGAACATGTCACAGAAATGCTTGTATAATTTAGTCCTATGATACATATCACCGCACAGGGGTTACGAGCATGCAATCTCCTTATTAAGCACATTTGTGTTATAACATTCGTTTTTAAAAATAGTTCTTATGCACCCCCTTCGAACAATATATTAGTATTTGTTCGTCAGCCAAATAACAACGTTTACTTATGGGTTATCTATTATCGTTATCATTAAACTTATCAAGATGGTGATATAGTCAATTGTTTGTTGCATTGACATTTCAGGAAACTTGCATTTACTTTTTATGGAAACTTAACTGTTAGCCAATCACGTTCCAAGATTTGCGAAAAAGGGAGAGAGGTTGCTATGTGTGATTTAAAAACAACAGTAGCAGTCTGGTATTGCATTATTGTAGAATTTATCTCACAAAATTCAAGCAGTTTAAAGCAAATGAACATATCAAGTATCAATATAATGTGTTATATGTAATATAACATTAGTAGTAGATTATCACAAATAATAATTTCCTTTGTTTATAAAATTGATAAATTATAAACAATTCAAAATAAATCAAACTCTTGAAACTAGAAACACTTCCCAATCAATCCAATCAAATGGGTCTTTGTCTTGTGAACATCTAACTGGAATTTGATATGAATTCTTTCCAGCCCAACCCTTTCCTTTATAACTAACATCACTATTACCAAAAGATAAATCACCACAATTCCCAAAATGAGGAAAATAAGTAACATCATCATAAACAGCATATTTATCTGTATTAGCAAAAAAGCTTACTACATTCTCATCACTGGATTTACTTAATGAAAATATAAAGCTTTCTTTAGTGTAAGACCAACCATCATGGGCACCCCATACACACGGATTATATCCACCAAGTATTTCTTCAGTGCCTGACACTTTCCCAACAGTAATTGTGGACCTTTATTATTACACATTTCTCTAAATTTTGCAAGTGTATCACCATCTCTATTTCGTCTATAAAGTAGAGTAAATTTATAAGCACCATGTTTCATAGATGCCTTTTGATTTTCTTGAGATAACCTTTTTGCTTCCACAATCTTTGATGAGATCCATTTTGCTTGCTTTTTGGTAATAATAACAGAGTCAATATCAGGACATTGTCCTGTTCTTGGTGGTAAAATGTGAGTTGTTGGTGTGTAATCTTCACCCAAACGACACTTCAGAACATCATGACGCAGGTTTTTGGGCAATAAATCCTCATACAACATAATGTTATTAGAGGAAATACTGAAAAATCTTATATAAGGAATACAATCTGCTATGATGTCTTTAACTGTGTTGACATCATTTGATGACCAAGCATTTATATCATTTCCAAATTCTAATTCTGGCACTTGTTTAGTTGCCCATTGAATGACTGCCATCCAAACATCATCTTCATCAATGTCTAGTTCATCATTCTTGAGCAGAGTGACCAAACTCTCCTTTGGTAAAATTGCAATATCATTCGATTTGAAGACAACGTCAGGATGTGAAACCATAATTCGATTGCAATAACCCAAAAGTTTGTCCAAAGAGGTTATGGATGCCGCACACTTGTGAACCGTGATAACGTTTTGTTGGATCCATTCTTCCTCTTTGGCAATCAAATGAGTTTCAATTGCATTGAGAAGGTCAAGGAGTTTAAACTTGCTTGCTCCATCCAAAAGACTGATCCAATCAATATTCTTGCTTGAGTCGTAAGATAGTCGCCCAGTGTAAATGTACCTGTCATGAATCGTTAAATCGGGTATGAGCATACTATACTCATACGTATAATTTACACTTATTCTGACAACTTATGAATATTACCTGAGCAAGACTTCGAAAACGTCAGGGGTCATATCTTCAAACGTTATGGTTGTCTTTTGAACCGCTTCGGTTGTCTCCATATTTCCGGTTATGTTATTCTCAAGCAGTGTGCTTCTCGTACATAAAACTAACGAATGAGCGAGGAATATTTTGCTATTTGGCTCCTTTCCAACACAGATTGAAATATCAGTATATTTGCCACTTTCATACAGTTTCCCATAATCCGCAGAAAGAATGGAGAGTAAATCAATAATGTTATTCATTTCGTTACAATAATTCAATCGAGAATATTAGCAGCCTTATCTTGTAATAAGATTTTGTTATCCGACCGACCGAAACTACAAAATTTTCTCAATTAACCAATGAGCGGCCCGCACAATTGTGTAACGTTCAGATCGTTTGTGGAGCGTACAGATTTCCTCTCTGGGGGCATGTCTCGATTATTTCTGACTTTTGCAGAGTATATAAATATAATTTCAGTGGTTGTCGAGAGTTTTGCATCATTATTTGCTTCGCTGAGAAAGGTTTAATTCCGCAATATTACGATTAAATTGCCAAACTGTTCATGTTGGGTATTCTTACTCGAAAAAAACATCTAAGCATAAAAGTTATTCGTCAGTGTTCTCACGCTGTTTGTTTGCTTTTGAAACGATAAATCGAGACAAAAAATAGTGTATACAATCACCGGAGATAAACAATAATAATAAAAGTTGACATATGTTTTAGTTTATGAATTTTTTATTAACTGCGGCTGCGTTGGTCATTTTTTGTTAATTATTGCTGTTTTCAAAATTCTAGAACCCCGCCGCGCCAATCAGATTGTGTAAAAATTTAATCCGCGCCAATAAGATTTAACCCTTTATCAAGGATTACCAAATACGTTACCTGTATTACAAGGAAAAGCCACACTTCTTCGACCTTTGGTGACCTCTCTGCCGAACAGGCGTAAGAGATCGCTAGTCAGAAGCTAATCTACAAACCTGCGCTCGCTTTAACTGTGTTCTTATTATGTATACTTATGCCGTTAGGGCCGACATACTGTATAAAAGTCGTGCATAGTAATCAAGGTAAACAAGAGAAATCGCTGGTAATCAAGAGAAATCACTGGTAATCGCTGGTAACGTTAAAAACAGTCCGAGGCTTCAAAAAAGTTCGTTGTAGGAAACTCAGCTTCCGGCTTTGAGTAAAAGTAACCACTGAAGCGGTTTGCTTTGGAAATCACTGAGTAATGGTTTGCACCAATCTTTGTTCGTGAGCGCAAGCGAGTAATCATAATTTGCAACATTTCGTGTGATGATCGGCAAGGGGGTTCTAGAATTTTGAAAACAGCAATAATATATGTTGTAAATGAATACAGTCAAACCTCGCCTCGTTATACCAAAGCCGCCGGGAAGGCATTTATAACAAAAAATTCGGTAAAATGAGACACCCTCTTGTAACGAAGACTAGATTAAGTCGGTATACCGAGGCTGGCTTTTGTAAATAATATTTATGATATTGTCGAATAAACGCCAACGCATGGAAAGAAGATAATAATAAGTCGAATTAATTACTAAATTATAATCTATTCTAGATTGCTTCTGATTTGTAAATAATGTAACTTTACCTTTTGTTTCAATAAACGAAAAACTATTTATTGTAATTTATCTCTATATTACCTTGGTGAAGAAAATTTAAACGCTGGGTCAAATGCAGTCATGGCATTTTTAGGCAAAATGGTAAGAAAACTTTTGACGATTTGTTTTCCTCATATAGTTGACTGGAAGAAACTATGAAACTGTGAAAAATTAAACTATGGTTTATCCCCAGTAATAATATTTTGAAAACCATTGTCCAGATACTCGAGAAGTTGTCTGGAAACCTCAACCCTCTTGCTTATTCTCATCAGAAAGCACATAAGGGATCCATTTTACACATACTTTTTTTGACAGAAAGTTTATTGTGCAAGATGGTTTCAATGCATCCTGAATACTCTCAATGCTAATATTGAGGTCTTTAACAATAACCACTTCACAGGGACATGCAGAACAGAAAGCATTTTCAATGCTCCGATTATCCAGCTTTAAATGCTTCAATCATGCAGTAAATAGTGCATTTGGATAGCACTTTAGTCTCTTCAGCAATCGACTAACTCTTTGTGAATGCTGTCTAACTAGATCAGGTGCTTTGCCCTCCATTGATATCAGTGTGCCACATGGTTAGTTCTTTATGGGGAGGAGTTTGATCATTATTTTTGTCAGTTGATTGTAGAAAATGTAGAAGTTGAAGGTTATCATTATGGAATTGTTTTTGTAAAGCATATATATGTTTTGTAGGTTTATTTGTCAGTATAATTATAATTTGGAGTGTGTTAAGTCCGTAACTATTTATTTGTACATGTGCATTTGATTACAGTTAATATGAAAAATTAAATTGTATTTGGACGAAATTACTTAAAAAAGTTATGTTGGGTTTTGTAGGAGTAATGTATAGAAAGGAGATAACTGGCTTTTCTGGGGGAATTTAATATTGTGATAGGTAAGGTAATATGTAAGTAAGGAAGAAATTAATTAAGAAAGTAGGATTTTATTTGGCCGCTTTTGTATCATTCTATGTAATACGGTATGTTATAGTCTATACATGGTGGTTTTTCAGAACTTGGGTTCCGTTCTTCGTAGTGTATTGTAGCGTGCTGATGTTTAAAATTGTCAGAAAATTTACTCCTTTGCTTATAGTTGTAGGATAACTGTAGGACGCAAACGGGGAACGAAATATAATTGGTTTTTGTAAATGTTGAAAACATCGAGTTTTGTTTTGGTTGTGCCCCCCCGCCGTTGGTTTCTCTATAATAAACTTTATTTTCTTTGTAAAATAATGAACAATGTTCGTCGTATTGTGGATGACTTTGATTTTAGCATCGATTATGATTGTATATTTATTAGTCTGTGGTCAGATTAGCCAAATGCTGTAAGCAGCAGCAGCAAATAAACGTATTGTAATTACGTTACGGAATTCATAGTAATTCCGCGTGTTGATTGGATTGCGCGACGGGTTAATACGAATGCTAAAAATTACAAAAGTGGGGGAGTTTGTAATTTTCATCAATATTATTATATAAGATAACCACTATTTATGCATCATGCTCAACAGCATTATTCCATTAATGTCAATACAGGGGCGAGGCCCTTCATAAATTTATAACTGGTTCTAAGTTTAAACAGATAATTGTTTATTTATATTGATTGTTTTGCAAAAGATCGTTGTACTAACACCTGACAATAATTTGAGCAAATAAGCTTGCTCTCTCGCAATAAATTATTACACCGATTCGATTGTAATACAACTTCGAAATACACCACATTCATTATTTTCATGCCTTATATATTTGCTGTTTGTATATTGTACGTTAGTTGTGACCAATAGCCATTTCGAAATTAAATTCGGCATCTTCGCCGGCATACATTGTCACCAATAAATAATATTGTCTCAATGTTCCTCTTAACATTTCGTTCGTCTTTCATGATACATTTTATAGTCGTAGATTATTAAGTAATCATGTTTGATGTTTCGAATTTCCGTGTTGTAGTCGGCATCGGTAAGTGTACGGGGCGAGCGAAGAATAGGAGGAGGGAAATATGAAATGCTCGTATGATTGTGACAAAAACAGAATCAAGGAAAGTAAGAATTAACTTTAATCAACTTGCATTGTAGACTTTGGAACAATTTACTCCGGTAAATGCTATAATGTATAAAATGCGTACTAAATGTATCTAAATCTCGAGACTAATGCTTTATGCTCTCAATAGGCTATGCCTTTGCTAACAAAACAGATCCGGATGAAATCATAAGCCAAGACACATGGTATGAACATATTAAACGCTTGGATTATATAAAAATTATGTAATTGAGAGGACGGTAAATATTACTACTGTTTATCCCCTCATTTCAGGCCGGATCAAAAGGGTACTCTAAGAACACCCACCGTTCTCCAATATGACAATCACTGGAATGTATTCAAGTGGGGTTATCCTGCATTGACTGAGTATGAGACTCTCAAAAAGAAGAAAATATCTGCTCGGAATGAGACTCAAACTGTAGAGATGTTCAAATTGCATCTGATTGACACACTTGGGCATCAAAAGCCGCCATTACCGAAAGGGCTAACCTGTTGGAAAGCTATTACAGATTATCTCAAAGCACTGAATCAGGTAGATAACGATCAGATTTATATTTACCCCAATGATGAAAAAATAAAAACTTTATGACTGAAGTTTTACCGTTACATGAATATTTAATTGTCAGTTGTCTGTTTGCTTTGTTAATTTTTTTACTGTTTTATATCGCCATAGTCTATTAAGAAGACATTGCTAATAAAATGGCCGGAGTTGCACTATCACTCTCAAGTGCTCAAAATCATGACTATACCAGCAGAATTAGATGGGAATACATTGTGTATGATGCGCAAATGCGCGTACGAGGCGGAAATAATAAACACTTTAGACTCGAAAGATTTGGTGTTTGCGACTGAACGTAAGAATATATGCTAAAATTAATCAAACTTTTAATACATTAACAATATTCTTTCTTAACAGCCGAGGCAACTGCGATATATTGCGTGAGGTCGTTGAATCTTAAACCAGGCTGTAAGTATTTGCATTTACGTATTCACCGAGAATCGAGACACTATAATTACTAATTAGAAAACGCCCTAAAGCTGCTTTCTTAGTGGTAGACTGCGATTTAGACACAGTAGACCTCACTTTACGCACTTTTCTTGCTACTCGCAAACTATCCAAAGTCACTGATCGCACTGGTGACTTTTGCGGCAGTACCTTCGTTGATCGTGAATTTATAAAATATATTGCGTCAGTGGTAGGCGAATCGGCTATGCGTATTTTCAAGGAAAAGCACAAAGTCGCGTTCCAGTACATGATTAAACAGTTCTGCGATAGAGTCAAATTTGTTTTCGATGGGGACCGTGAAAAATTTGAGACGACAAACTTCGAATTCGATGTTGGGAGATTCTGTCCAGAATTGATGCAATACGTTCAGGGAGACAAAAAAAAACGAATGAAAGAAGAAGATTGGATAATCGAACTGGATTACGAAACCGTTAAAAGTTGTTTTGATCCAGTCGTTAATAGGATTTTACAGTTAATAGAGACCCAGTTGGGGAGGTCGAGACTGGCTACGTCAGCAATATTCTTGGTCGGAGAACTTTCAGAGTCAATATACTTATTACAGAGAGTTAGGCGTAAATTCTCGAGTAAAGTTGATACCATTGCAGTTCCACCCTTTCCTCTTGCTGCTGTCGCACGGGGCGCGGTATACTATGGTATGTAAGAAAAACTGTTATGTACAAGGCATATTGCAATTAGTGTAACCAGCGATTATGTATCTTCGTATAAGGTCTCGACATAAGCTTCGAGGTGGCGGCCGGACCTAGTCTTGCAAGACCAAGTTTCGAGGCGACTGCAGGACCAAGTCTCGCAGATCCAAGTCTCGGTGTGAATGCAGTAACGACCCGTGTCGTGAAACGCTATGGTATTAAATTCAAGTCAGAATGGAAACCAGGAGACCCACTTTCACGTCGCACTGCTGATGGTCATATATACGTCTTCAAAACTATTGCTCAGCGTGAGATAATGATATCTGACGATTCCGAATTTACATATGAATTGATACCATCATCCAATCAGACACAAGTAGAGGTTGACTTTTACACTACGTGTCGAGATGACGTAAGATATTGTGATGAACTCGGCGTAGTGTCGTTGGGACAGCTGCTTATTGGTGAGTCATAGAAGTATATGGCAATTTGGACGCAAAATCCATAACTATGAGGATTGGAGAGTCATAAACGACTACAACGATTTGTATTTTATTAACAAGATATTTGCTGTAGATGTACCTACAAAAATTGGACTTGATCGGACAGTAACTGTGAGCCTCATATTTAGGAAAACAGAAACAAGAGTAGAGTTCAGTGTGGCCGGGAAGACATATGGAAAAGTTTCATACAGTCCCGATGTCTTCTAAAATAACGAACATATATCTTACTAATTGGTTTAGCTTTTTCTTATCCCTTAAATTATATTATTTATGCACTTTGGCCTTGGTGAATTATACATATCCATAAGTGATAATTTTCTGACAGCTACTCATTTCGATGAGTTTTTAAACCGTATGCAGAATAAAAAATGTGCAACAAATCAAAAGGTCACATCACCCAGTGTTAATCATACATTTAGAGAGGGATTGCACTTAGGGGTTGCTTAGGTTGCACTTAGGGAGGTCCCACTCTGTAGTTTGTTGGAACCTTAGATCCATAACTAGCATTATCCAAAGTCATGTAATCCTCAGTTGTGATTATCATAAATTGTGGCAATCCCAAATTTGGGAATAAGACTTGGCGTGCATCAGTCGACCTCCCATACAGTCACCTCCCATACAGTCACCTCCCATACAGTCACATTTGCTTACAGTCACACATTTGTTCAGTTCCGAATTTTTTCATAGTAAATTTCCTCCCACACAGTCACATTCATAGTGTTAGTCACAATCACACGATTTTGGATTC